AAAATATTGAACTGATTTTATTATTGTGTTGATATATATTCTTTTTATGCTTTTATTAGTTCAAATTTTTGTCGATGTGTGAGCTTCTTATAAAATAAGACTTTTGCTTTGTTGTCATGAAAGCATAGTTGATATTGAGCCTATATTTTCTTCAATCATACACATTTGTGTTGAACAGACAGGTAGCTAAAAATTTTAATTTTTTATTTGCTATTATTTATTTTTTAGGTTTCGCAAAAAATAAAATATTTTTTGCTATTATTTATTATTTGGGCTTGAGTTTGATAAAAAAATAAAACAATTTTTTATTTTATTTGATGTTCTTTATTATTTGGGCTCGGATTTGACCAAAAATAAAACTAAAATTAAAATAAATAGATGACTTGTATTAATAAAATGTTTTGATTGGTGATTAATTTATAAAGCTTAAAAAATTGATGTGTCATAGTTTACTATAGAGAAAAATTAGTTATTATTGTATTGATTAGAGGAAGTAGAGTAATTATGAAAAGCGAAAAATTAAATGAATTAATTTTGTTCCATCCATTCTTTCTGAATACAGAAGATGACTAAATTCTTTTTTAAATGTGTAATAAATTCATTTTTTCATCCGGGATTGTTGGAACTTTTTTTCTTTCTTAATGTTTTTACTGTAAATTGTAAATTTTGACAGAAATGTATATATAGTTCTATCTTAGTATACAACCATTTACATTCATAGTTAGGCAAAATGATCCTGCTACAGTTAAATGTGAAATCTATACATAGCCTGCAGGCTTTGGAGCATGTATCAAAACATTCAAAACATCATAATTCATCATTCGACCATATGATTAATTAATTCTGATTGTATTTGAAAGTTGATTCTCAGAGCTTTCAACTTGCAAAAGTGTATGGTGATTACAAAGTAGCCATCAAAATCACCTTATCCAAAATGGTAATTTATTATTCGGTCATTGGATTAACGGAATTTGATTGTAATTAAAAATTGGTTTATTTGGTTTTCAATTTGATAAGTATAAGATGATATGATGGTTAGAAGGGTAGTCATGTGGAATCATCTTCCCCAACATAAGATGTACTTTGAACATCTAGGTTGTCAAAAATAACACTCTTCACTTATATTGCATGTGCTGCATTTGAAGTCTGTAAAATGTAAAAATATGCATATGTAACGTACAAAATATATACGTGAGATTTTGTTTCTAATAATGTAGTAATAAAACAACTAAAACTTTGGATTTTTTCGACTGACATGTGTTATATACACGTATGTTTTATAAATACGTTAGTGTGCCACGCTGGACTAATGATCGATATTTTTTACTTGTCAGGATTCCATTTAGATGCTGTATCGGAACGATGCACGCGTATTCAGTATGTAGATTAGATCAATCGTAAGCATGTTCCTCTACCCTAGCTATATGACAAATCAAGGATATGGTTTTCGTTTTTAAAGATTAATTCATTTTCCGCTCAAGTAAGAGTCGTGTTAGTGTGTTTTTTATATAATTATATTGCATTTGAGTGGTGAGTAAACGACAGTTATCTTACCGTCTTCTTACTTTCTTTGTCTGTCATGTTTACCATAGTTAGTATTTAAACAGTTGTACAAATCGACATTGACAAAAATATTGATAGATGAGTGTCAGTCACCGATATGAATTACGAAAAATTTGAATGATGAAACCATCGTCGGGATGCTTTTGTATGTGTCTAGATGTCAATTGTCAAAGAAGTTGGCGTTTAGATGGCTATGGTTTCTTTCAAACAAAATTGTTGGAGCGACGTTCTTGATTGTTGTATTTTGGGAACAGCAAAAATATACTCCGGCTTTGACTATAAATATATACTTTTTACATCCAATATATTTATAAATAAAAAAAGACGTCGACTATGATTTTAAGTCTTGTGAACCGGGTTTTAAGATCACATTGATCAAAACTTTTAGCTATTTGTAACTCAATCCATACTTTTGTGTGATGTGTTAAATTGGTTGTTTATAAACTCAATCCATACTTGACTAGATCAAGATGGAACTAGGGGCGATTCAGTTTGGTTTTCAATACATTGGTCTACACTAAGATCTACTCCGCATTTGTTTATAAAATGTTTAAAAAACATTGGTCTATACTAAAATCTACTCCGCATTTGTTTATAAGATGTTTTAGAGATTTATACATAAATTGAAAAAATTTATAAAATATTTATTGTAATTTTATCATTATTATTTGTTTGTTTATTATCAATTAATTTAAAAATAAAACAAGTCATTTATTAGTAAATTTTGCATTAATTTCTAAAAACATCATATATTTTTAAACAAAAAAAAATTCTAATACATCTTATATTAAAAAATAGAAAAAATATTATTCATCACTAAAAAGCTATTTTAACGGCACTCAGGACCTCCGTTTTGACACCAGACCTTATTTCAAATACCAAAATTATTTGTTACTAAATTGTCTTTTGCCAATAATTAAGATTATTCCTATTTTCACCTAATAGTATACTAATATATCTATATAATTTGTTGGTTTTTGATGTATTTTTAACAGTATGTCCATTTTCTTTTCTTTTTTGGGTCTGTTGATTCAGTTCAAACAAAGTGGCATTGTTTCCTTGTAAACTAATACTCCGAATCGTGATCTGAATTAGACAACACGATTCATTAATGGGAGCACAGTCGTGATTACTAATTGCCAAATGTTTACTTTTGTTCCAAATAGTTATTCCTACTTACTGTTTGCGTGATTAGCAGTCAAAAAAACAACGAGTAATACTTTTAAAACAGCGTAATCTTTTGTGGCTATCAATCAAATCAAATTAGTGGGGAAAAAAAATATCTATAAACCCGCATGCCAACAATTGAGTCAGACTCTCGATTTTGTTGTTCTTGTTTTTTTCAAAACTTATTATTACAGCTCAAAATGTACAGAGGGAAATGATGAGTTTGGTTCGAAAATAAGCATACATTATTTGGAAGTATGGGTTGGGGCAAGAGCCCAAGAGATGAGTAGTATATCGTGTGTGTGTCGTCGATTATTATTACTACAATTTTTTAAAAAGATGAAAACATTTTTACACATAATTTTTTTTTTTGTCAAAGAAGACTTTGGTGGGGGCCCATAAAGCTTTTCACGCGTGCTCTCGCCATCCTACGGTCACCATCATGCCCGCATTAAACGGAAACCACTCAGATTGCTTCATCCAACGGCTCACACTCCCCGTGTTTGACTCTCTTCTGTCCTTCCTCTCACGCGTGCTCCCTCTCTTCTTTTATTTTTCCCCCTCCATTACCACTATTTATTTTATTTAAGTATCTCTTAATATATTGTTTTTAAAAAACTTTTACGTTTATAATTTCTTATTTCCTCCATTACATAGTGATATTATACATGGGTTACGCTATTCATGTAAACATTTAATCCTAGTATAATCCAGAATTTGTTATGATAATGTCCTAACAGATTTTTGATGAGATAATAGTAAAAAGTAAAAATCCAAAGAAACAAGATCTTAGACACGCTTTTAGTTTTTTGGGAGATAAAATAACTAAGATTACTTTAATTACTCTGGTCATCTACTCCAAGATTTTTATCTATTTCTAACTCGTAAAAAGACATATTTTGTCCAAGATTTGATCTTGGATGAATCAATTAATAGGAGTGCAAAAAAATTGATATTTCCAAAAATTCCACTAAAGTTTAACCTCTTTTTGCTTAATTTTTGTGTTTTAAAAAAAACAAGTAGTAGTAGATTCACGCACAAAAAGCGTGCTAGGAATTTTTTTTATAAAAAAAAACAAAAATACTTTAAACAATAATGTTTGTCATTAAAAATGAAAATGGACAAACCAAACAAAAACAAACAAACCGCACCAGAAAAAGAAAGCCACGCTCTCTGTCACTTACTCCTATTTCTCTCCTTTCTCTCAGATTCTCTCTCTAGATCTTCCGCTGCAGCAACTTTCTTCCGAATTCGATCAGGCTTCAGCTTAAGTTTTACGCAAAAAAGGAATCCATTTTGATCGTCTTCTTTACTCAAAAGTTTTTTGATTTCTACGGTATGATTCAGTTAATTTGCTTCTCTTCCTACCGCCGCAATTTTTGACTTAGGGTTTTTATTTTATTTTATGTGTATAATATCGTCTTACTTCGATGGTAAATTTTGTTCTTTTGATTGCTGACTAGGTATCATATGATCGCTGTATTATCCCCCGAGTGAATTTTGATTTTCCTATTTGAATGTTCTGTCTTGTTTATGTTTAATTGTGTTATCCTTCTGTTTCCTTTTCTGAATAAACCACTCACGATCGCGCGAAGCTTCTTTTTCTTGTTCTTGTTTTGCTTGCTGATCAGTTTTGCATTTTAGTGAAAAAACATATAAAAAAAACCTCTCCTGGATTCGATGTTAATGTCTTTATTCATGGTGGGTTTAGCTTAATGTTTGTTGTACGCAGATGCATAAAGTCTTACTCTTTTATTTCCGAACCATCGAGTTATTAGTTATACGTCCTCTGTGTTTTAAGCTTCTCTGTTTTTTAGTTTCCAATGTACATTTTCGGATTTTGCCTCGATTTCAGTGCCGTTTATCTTAATAGTATCTGTGAATATATATATACTACTATATATGAGTAGCATTGGTCCTAATTTTTGTTTGTTTGTTTGTTTGTGAGTAGAGGAGCGGTCGTTAAAATACACACAAAAAACTGAAGTTAATAGTGGAAGAATCAAGATGCCCTGGACATCCTTCTTCATGTTTTTCAACAGGACTTGCACTCGTCTGGTTGTCTTTTTCCTCGTGATTCTGTAAATTTGATCCTTTCAGGTGAGGACCTTGTCTCTTTTGTTTTGTTCTGCAGTTACTTTTGTTTTTGCATTTGGATTGTGCATTTAGCCTTCGTTAAACTGATTTATCTTACGTTTAGCAAATAGAACATTTTGGTTTTAAGTTTTTTCATTGCCACTTTATTTACAGCAATTTCTTGTTTTTTGCAGGCGTTGTTTCCGAAATTTCGGAGTAGCTCTCTGTTATTGTACCTATTTTTCTTTGGTTAGTGTGAGAATGTGCATTGTTGGAAACAAGAAGGGAAACCGAGCATTGAAGGAGATAGGAACCTTTATGATGACTACATGTTTCATTGCTAATTACCAATCCGTTCAAGTTTGTCAGGTACATTCCTCTCCTGTATCTACTTCATTTCATAATAGCTACTTTGAATTACGTGAATAATCTAATAGATGATTATCTGTTAGAGCATAAAACCATAATGTCCCTGATGTTCAAACTTTCTGTTTTATATCTTTGCAGGCAGAATATTTCAGACAGTTGCTTAAACCTGTAACGTAGTCTGGTGTCTGGAGATTCCGGAAATTTGGGGTTTTTTTTGGGCGGCTATCTACTTTTGATTTCGAAAGAGTTATTGTGAGATACTAAGAGTCTTGTGTTCTGAAGAGCTGTGTTGACGTCTGAGCTCTGTGGAGGGTGAAGCTTCTGGTTTGAGGGGAGGGTAAGGGCTCTGGTGGAAAATTGGTGATATCTTCAGTACGATGGCCATAACTTGATTTAGAGCATTTGGTTCGATTTGTCAACTTATAGTGTAGTTAGTAACCGAGCAGCTAGAAGCTTACACAGAGGCAAAATCTAGTTGCAGAGAACTAAGCAGCTCGCAGTTTAGGACTTCGTTTTTTTTTCTTCTCCCTTTGCGTTTGCACTTTTTCTAGCTTTGCACGGGTTCTTGATGCAGAGAGATCAGTTTCCTCACTTTTCTGACGAAATGGGTGATGGAAATATGAACCACCCGTATGCATCAGCGTCATCCTTTGATGCTTTGTTCCCACCATGTGCCAAGTTGCCATACCATGGTGTTGAACTTCAACCATCTCCGGTCTGTCCAAAGAACTTTGTCATCTTCGACCAAAACTACGACCGTAGCCAAGTGATGTACCATCCTGAGCTGACTCACAAGCTCATGAACTCACCGACGTTGAACGGATTTGCTTCTACGTTCCATAACGAGTACGTTGGGGGAAGTTATGGTAACTTTGGGCAAGAAGTGTCCTCTTCTCACCAAGAGGATCCGAATGAGATCGATGCTCTCTTGAGCACAGATGAAGATTACGAAGACGATGATGATGATGAAAACGAGGATGGTGGCGACTCAGAAGAGGTCAGCACAGCTCGTAACTCTTCCAGGGAATATGGAAACACGTCGGCTGAGTCTTGTTGCTCCAGCTATGGATATAAGAGCTCAAGGAAGCAGAGTTTATCGGGAAGCGCTAGTTGCAACAACGATGGGAAAGGACGGAAGAAGATGAAGAAGATGATGGGGGTGTTGAGGAGAATCGTCCCTGGAGGAGAGCAGATGAACACAGCTTGCGTTCTTGATGAAGCTGTTCAGTATCTCAAGTCGCTTAAACTCGAAGCTCAGAAGCTTGGCGTTGGACATTTCTCAAACCAATCTTGAATGCTAGCGATATTGGTTCCATTGCAATTGCTCTTGGATGGTAAAAACAGTCCAACGCTATCTGGATCTCTCTCTCTCTCTCTCTCCTCTTGGTTTTGCAGGATGGATCTTCTTATAATAGTATGTTGAATCTCTCTCTCTCTCTCTCTCTCTCTCTCTCTCTCTCTCTCTCTCTCTCTCTTTCTCTCTCTCTCTCTCTATGTTTTGCATTTTGTTTGTTATTGCTTTGGATGAAGAAGCTGGGTTTGCATTTGGATTTATTTAAGCTTTTGATTTGTATGGTTAAACTTTCACTGTAATCATTTGTAAGCAGGAAACTACTGTATTATGGTTTGTCACATTTACTTTGTAACTTTGATTATGTTAATGTATTTGCTTCTTGTTTTAAACATTTGCTCTCTTCTAGTGCTTTACATCCCCTATCCCCTACACATTATTTGAGAAGTAGAATTAGTAAAAATTGATGATGTGTCATACTCATAATCAAAGTTAGTGTATTGTATTGATGATATGTAAATGTGACATGTCAAATTTCTTAAAATAAACAAAATGTTTTGATTGGTTGAATTAAAATTAAAAAAACTTGAAATTAAACATAACTACACTAGATTATAAATAATTTTAAAGTAACAAAAAGATAATTATTATGATTAATTTTTTTACATATATCCATAATTCGATAAAGTATTAGTACAAAAATTTTACAATACGTATACATATTTATATATTATAATTTCATATTAAAAGAAAAAATATATAATATTAGATTATCCAATAAGATAGTAAATATTATATATATTAATAATGTTTAAAGTATGATATATTCTTATTTTGGAAAGTTATTAATTTATGAAAATTTATAATAATAACATCTAAAAAGGTTTAAATTAGATACATTATTAAATAGTAGAATTTAGAATAAAATAGAATCATGATACAATAATTTAACGAATAAAAAGATTTTAAAATAATAAAATAATAATTAACTTTTATTGAAAGTTTAAAAAGTAACATAACTTAAAATAATTTGTTTGTTCGAACCATTATTTATTATGGCAAATAAATAAAGTATATATTAATTATTACTATTTTATAGTATTAATATGACCATATATTTGTATATAATATTAACACTTTTTATACTGCTGTTTTTTAAAATTTACATAGTTTTGTTACCATCTCATCTTCTCTCTTATCATATTTTACATAAAAAGAAAAGTTTATATCATATTCATATGTATATACGCATTTTCATTGTATATCGAGAATTTAAGATCATAAATAAAATAAAAATAATCGAATGAAAGAATAAATGATAATAAGATGAAACAAAAATAAATAAGAAGTAAAAACAAACATAAATCTTTACAGTTTTAGTTTTTTGTAAAAATATTGCAGTTTGTTTGAAAAAGTTATTTAAAAAATCTTAAAAAGACGTGTTATTTTTAATGAACACATGTGTATACCAAATTTTATAATACACACTTGCTTTTATAAAAATATGATTTCACAAATTTTATAACAAATTCTTATTATAATTTTTATTGAAAAGGAAAATTACTAATGGATTATCTAATGTACTATATTTATCTTCATGGTAAAGTGAAATCTTATATTTTTTTTTTAGAGTTTTTTGTAATTTTTGTTAATATGTAATTTAATTTTTAATTTGAAATTATATATCACAAAACGCAGAAAAATAATTTACCAAAAACAAAAATTGCTGAAAAATAATAAATTTTTCGTGATTGTTGATAAAAGTCAAAAACTGTATTGTGTAAAAACATAACGTTTGCGGAAAATATAAGAAAAATTAACCAACACCTAAATATTACAATTTACTTATTTTTAGCTCATACTTACATGCATATATATATATATATATTTATTTCTTTTATAAAATTCAATCATAACATATTATATATATGTATATATATATTACAAAACATATGCATTGCTATTTTCTTTTAACACATGAAAGCCATATTCGTTTTTTCCACAAATGTGTGTATGAATATAAATATTAATTATGCAAAAGTCAAACTCCATACGAACTTGTTGTCCATAAAATTTGTTAACCTCGATTACAGTGCAACCATCTACCCACTTTTAGGATAAGTAAAAATAGTAAAACCCAATTTGGTTTAATTAACAATAAAAAAAAAATATATATATATTATGTACGAACAGAGTATCATTAATATACAATATTAATCATATATTAAACATATAAATTATTTTATAGTCTGCACACGATGCGGACCGATCACTTAGTTGTGGGCCGATCACTTAGTTGTATATTGAACATTGCAAGGGCCATCGCTTAAACATGGTTTTCAGTAAAAAAACAGGTTTGAAATTGCGTTATGATGATAATTGATTATTAGTAGAATTTAGTGTTGTTGAAATGGGCTCCATAAAAGATAAACGGGTTCGAATAAGGCTGATCCGTTTAGTTTTTTGTTTTCCTTCATCAATCGCGTAAACCGGCGTCGTTTTGATGTTCTTTTATTGGGCTGAAAATGAAGAAACGACGTCGTTCTTAACTACCAAGCAACTGTCAATCGCCTTCACTCCGACGAAATTTGGATTCGAAGTTTTTCTGATCGATCCTCGATTTCACGAGCAGGAAGAAGAGAAGAATCTCGTCTCGAAATCGTCCGTCGTTAAAAGGGTTCTTATTCAGCAGCTCATTCAAGCTGTTGACTTGTCGCAATCTACGATTATACCGAAGCTAAACACAAATCAGCTCCACGATTCGTTTCAATTCAAGTTTCAGACTTTTTTCGTGAAATCGAGAAAAGTGAATTTGCAGAGTTTTTGAGATGGATATGAGGTTAAGTTGGGTGAAGCTATGAAGTGAGGCTATTCTCTGGTTCTCTAATCTCGATTCGTTCCGGATTCAGTTTCAGAAATCGGCAATGGGGTCTTCGTCGTCGTTCTGGAACATAGCTTCACGAGAAGCCATGAAAAGCGGTGCGTTTGTAGCGAAAATCTACTGCTTCCTCCATGTAACCACAAACTATCTCGGCTTCGCTGCTTATGTGAGTCACATCAAATCTTCTTCTTCTTTTTTTTTTTGTTGCTGATCTCAATCATCTGGGTGTTGACTTCCATGGAGATTTCTTTCTCTTTTTGAGCAGGCTTATGGTCCGAGTATGATCCCGACGCTTCATCCTTCGGGAAATGTCTTGTTGGCGGAACGAATCTCCACGAGGTCTCAGAAACCGAGTCGTGGAGATATAGTTGTGTTACGATCTCCAGAAGAACCTAACAAGACCCCGATCAAGAGGGTGATCGGAATTGAGGGAGATCGTATAAGCGTTGTGGCTGATCCAGAGAAGAACGTTCAATCAAAAACCTTCGTGGTATGTTATGATTAGCCTTCCTCTTTCATCTTGCTTATGAATATAGGTATTGAGTTTGAGGAGATTAGATACATTGTTGGAGAATTTGATGTTCGTGTTGGTGAGTATTGAGTTCGATATAATTCGTAGTAGTAGTAAAGCTTCTTCTCATGAGAATGACAATTAGCTTGAGCTTAAGGTAAAGAGACTTGGAAGCTTTGAATTTTTTTGAATCGTTAGAACTGATAATAAGCAGTGTTTATGCTGTTTGTGTAGTTTCGGTTCGACATTGGCAATAGAAATGTTGTAAATGGCGATTTGATCTGTTTTGGTTATACAGGTTCCTAAAGGGCATGTGTGGGTTCAAGGAGACTATACTCAAAACTCTCGAGACTCGAGAACCTTTGGTCCTATACCTTACGGTCTTATTCAAGGCAGAGTGCTATTGAGGGTATAACTCTAGCTCCACAACTCTAAACACGATCTGTTGATACAATATTAGTTGATTTTTACTGTTTTTGGTATTTCGAAAGTGTTGTTTGCATTTGATTTGGTTAATCAATCTTTGGCTAAACTGTGGTATCAAACGATGTGTAGGTTTGGCCATTTCGAGATTTTGGACGGCTTGGACCGACCACAACTTGAGAAATATGGTTAGCGCAGGAGTGAGCTACAGCTCGTTAGTGTGGTTTCTCGTTGTTAAGCCGAGTGAATAACGACTAACCATGTAATGGAGAGGCTGAAAGAGGCAAATTTATATGAGATCCCTGTTGAATAGTAGAAACTTTATATTTCTAGTACAAATTTGAAAACGATATACCCGTAAATGATTAATTTTGATAATATGCTAATATATTGTCCAAAAAAAAAAGATGAAGAAGAAGAATGGGCAATGACTTTTATGTTTCTTTTATGCAACAATTAAATACCAAGTATATACAAGACAAAAACTAGATGGACAAATCAGATTCTTATCATTGTTTTTATTCTTTAATCATTAATGTTCGTCTTTAAAAATAGAGTTTACAATCAATATAACAATAACAACAAAGTCTCTCCACAGTTTGACACTTCAGCTTTTTAAAATTATAAGAAATTGACACATCAGCAAAATCAACAACCAATCAAAACATTTTAATTAATACACATCATCTACTATTTTTATTATTTTTTAAATTTAAACCCATTAAAAACTCAAATACTTTTTGTATTAATTTTTACCAAACCCAAACTCAAACCCAAATAATTGATAACAGCAAATAAAAAAAACATTTATTTTATTTTTCCAAACCGAAGCCCAAATAATAAAAAAATTAAAATTAAATATATGTTTTACTTTTTGTCAAACTCAAACCCAAATGATAAATAACAGCAAATAAATAATAAAATAAATTTCTAGCTATCTGTTTGTTTGAAAGAAACGTATATGATTGAAAAAAAGTATAGGTTCAGCATCAACTATGCTTCCATGACAACAACGCAAAAAGTCTTATGTTATAAGAAGCTCACACATCAGCAAAATTTTGAACAAATAAAAACATAACAATAATTCATATCATCAACACAATAATAAAACCAGTTTACTATTTTGCTGACCCATCAAAAAGTCCAAAGTTTACAAAAAATAAAAGTCGAAAGCAAAGGAAGAGAAGCTCAGACCACCACAGCTTGAAGATTCGTATTTCTGGTGGTTACAGTCACAGAGAACGAATCAATAACTTTTTGATTATTCTCCGCCTCTAAGCCTTACATGAGAACTTTCCATCTCTCATGGTTTCAATTATTCTGCTGTTTTGTCTCCACTTTCGCAGCTTCGTAGCTCGGGATTTCTCCGAGTCATTCATGAAAACCTCAATCTCGGTGTCATTGACATCGGAAACACCAAAATCGCCTTTGTTTCCGGCTTGGTCTTCACTCAGTTTTTTGGTTTGGACATGAAAGTAAAATTTCATGGTTTAAATATGAAAGTAGATTTTTTTGGGAAATAAGTTCTCGGTTTTGATGAGAAAATGAGATTTTCTGTTTTGGCGCGGAAATAAAATTTCTCAATTTTGATGGAAAAATGTGATTTTTCGGATTTGTCAGGAAATGTGAATTTTTGGATTTTATGAGAAAACAAAAAAAAATGATTTTGATGGGAAAACAAAATATCTTAGTTTTGATGGGAAAATACGATTTTTTTGTTTTGATGGGAAACACAATTTTTCAATTTTGATGTAAACATGTGATTTCTCAGTTTTGACATGAAATGCAAATTTTTGGCTTTTGACGGATAATGCGGTTTATTGGTTTTCACGCGAAAATATGATTTTTTAGTTTTCGCGAGAAACTGCAATTTGACGATTTTGGCGGAAAATGTAATTTTTCGGTTTGATGGAAAAACAAAATTTCTCGGTTTTGGCGGGAATAAGCAATTTCTCTGTTTATATGGGATATGCAAATTTTCAGTTTTTGACGAATAATGTGATTTTTTGGTTTTCGAGGGAAAATGCAATTTCTTAGTTTTGCGGGAAAACACAATTTTTCGGGAGATAATGCAATTTTTGGTTTTTGCGAGAAATTATAGTTTATCTGTTTTGGTAGGAAAGCGTGATTCTTGGTTTGACGAGAAAATGATTTTTTTGGTTTTGGTGGGAACATAAAATTTCTCAGTTTTCGTAGGAAAATAATTTTTTTGGTTTTGACGGGAAAATACATTTTTTTGGTTTTTGCAGGAAGATGAATTTTTTTAGTTTTGGTGAAAAAACGTGATTTCTCGGTATTGGTGGGAAAACACTGGTTCTCGCGGGAAAATTCTTTTTTTTTGGTTTTGGAGGGAATAAGCGATTTCTGAGTTTAATAGGAAAATGTAGTTTATTTGTTTTGACGAGAAATGCAATTTATCGATTTTTGTAAGAAGATGAAAAATCTATGTGCAAAATTTCCAAGTTAAAGTATGTTTACAATAACCAAAATTTAATTATTTAACTTCTACTAAAAAAATATTTCAACAGTTCAAACATAATTTTCTATTTAGTTCTAAAGCAATAACAATGATTTTGATATGAATGTTATTGATTATAGTTTGGTAGTTTTAGAAATATATGTTTATAATAAATATTTGATTAATAAATAAATTTTATAATTCAAGATAATTATATTAATTAATAAATCTTTTTTTAAATGACATTTTGCTTTATATAATTACAAAGGAGGATCAAGTGCCAATTTATTGGAGAAAATAGATTACATTTGCCATTAGCATGAAGTTATTAAAAAATGTATTGCTTTATTTTTACATATATATTTATAATTAGTTAGCTAAACAAATTTAATAACAAATTATAATTTAAAAATTAAAAAAAAATTAAAAATATACAATGTTTATTTAGATTTAAAACATATAAATACATAACTTAAGCTAATAAACAAATAAATATAATACTCATTTATATTATCATTTTTTATTATATTAAAAATATTTACAAAACCTAGAAAAATACTATTCAAAACATGAAATTAGATAAAAAAACAAAAATATATAAAACATATATAAATTATTTTTATGATATGGTATCCCGCAGCATAACGCGGATTTAAACCTAATTTCTTTAATATTATATAGATATTTGGGAGCATTTTGTAGAAATTCTAAAAGGGACATACGTTCATGTGTATAAGATGAGTGGAATAATGGTAGAATCTTGGATATAAACTTTATTTACTGGAGAGCAAATAAAATTAATGCATATAGCTTTATAACGAACCAATATCTTCATATAAGTGGATAAAGATAGATTTTAAGGAGATATCGGGGTTCCAGACACAAAGGGTCGCCTGACGAGACGGAGGCGGTTTGACAGGGGCAGGTGATCTGGCGAGAGCTTGTTGGGGCAGTCCAACAGGAGTGGACTGCTATCTTCTTGAAGTTTGCTAGGATTTCCTGCGAGTTTATGGGGCAATCTATTAGGGACAGATTGCTATCTCTCATGTGCTTTCTAGAGCCTTTTGAAAGTTTGCTGGGGCAGTCCGACAACGATCCCCATTGTACTTATATGAACTGTTGAATTGGACAAAAGTGCTTTGTGCACACATGTTTTTCAGAAGTGGGTTCCATGAAGAAAAAGTGGAACATACTTTTTTAATGATGGGCCTCAGTGTAAATTAAAAATTCATTCTCAACCCTCGACTCTTTATTTTCACGTCCACAATCAGCGAGGATAATTTTGTATGTTGAATTCTTGAAAAAAATAAAGTAAAGTGACCTGGAAAATGAGCACAGGAAGGTAATCACAAAAGATATCCCCTAAGAAAGTTTTCCGGAGAGCAAATCCCATAAGGTGATCCCGGAGGATATTCTCAGAGAAAATTTCCCTGGAGATTGAGGTCCTAAAGGCGATCATAGAGGATATTCCTAGAGGAAAGTTTTCTGCAGGGCGAGCCCCAATAGGTAATCCCAGAGGATATTCTCAGAGAAAAGTTTTCCAGAAAGAAAACTCCAGAAAGCGATTGCATAGAAAAGTTTTACGGGGGATGATCCAGGAGAATAGAAGGGAAGTCCCCAAAAGTGGCAATCTCCAATTTCTGGAGGAATATTCCAGAGAGAGCAAGTAATACAGTAAAATTGTAAAGGAGTAACCCGAGTAGTAACAGTGTAAATCAAATGAAGGTGTGTGTACATCCCAAGTGGAACAATGTCAAGTCTCCAAGAGAAAATATGTATTTGATCGAGAGGTATGTTTTTGAGGAGAACACACTGCAATTCCAGATAGTGTTACTCGTTGCACTTGGTTCGATACTCCCATCATTCTAGTACTAAATGTTTGGGAGCATCTTGCAGGATCCTTGAGAATGGTATGTGTTCATATTGAGAGCATTTTGCAGGATGCCTGAAAAGGATATATGTTCGTTGGTATAAGATGAGTAGAATAATGGTAGAGCTTAGGATAAGAATTCAATCTACCGGAGAGCAAACAAAATCAATGCATATAGTTTTGTCGGGATCAATATCTCCATGTAGGTGGGTGAGGATGGACTTCAAAAAGGTATCGGGGTTCCAGACACAAAGGGCTGTCAGACAGGATGGAGGCAACTTGACAGAGACAACTTGACGAGGGCGACATGACATAAGCATGCTAGGGTAGTCTCATAGAAATTGGCCCCAACGTGATCTAAAAAATATATTTTCAACGATATATATTCCTTGTAAATATTATATTTAAAATTTATAAGTTAAAACTTAGTAATTTATGAAGATAATTAAATCTAATAAAACTATGAACCTAAAACTAAGTTACAAAAATAGAAATTATTTAAAATTTAATAGAAAACTAAAACATCATTCGTTTTGACGGTTTTTATCCAAATCAAATATAAATTAGTTTTTTTAGAAAAATAATAACTAAATGATTTTTAGGTTTAATCATAACTAAACTATACCACTTCTTTTACTTTTGGATAGTTTGATTTTTTCGGTTACAACTATTTTATCCACAATATCTAAATTCTACATTAATGTCATTAATTTTTTAGCTTATATGTACATAACTTTTGCAAGAATATAATAAATTTTTGACTAAAATCTGACTTATAATAAACAAACAAAACAAAACATTTGACTAAAAATGGGAAGAAATAATTAATATTTACTAAATTTCAAAATTCAAACTAATACTATGCATATTTGACTAAGATATTTACAACTAAAATGATATTTATTCTTGACACATACAAATTAGATTCCTAAATTCTGCTTATAAAAATAAAAAGGCATCATAAAACCAAAACATTAACAAAATTCATTCCTTCATTATATTTTGCTATCTTCATATCAGCTCGATTTATTTCACAAAAAGTATTTGAAATTCATACTAACCAATAATGCAAAAAATAGTTTTTTTGTAACATAGTCTCTATTCATTATGTTAATTTATGTGTCTAAAATCTATTTTATTTTTATACTTTCATATTAATTACTTTGTTTTTTTTTTCCTTTTTTAAATTTTACAGTTGTCAAATATAAAGATCCTGATGACAACAATGTTAATGGTAATGATGATAATAGATGCGGTGACAATGGTAAAGCTATTAGACAATGGTGGCAATGATAATACTGTTGGACGATGGGGGTGACAGTAACACTGTTGGATGATGGTGATGATAACATAACAGTAGTGATGTAAGTTAATCAATACCGAGGTAAGTGGTGATTAATATAATTTTGGATGAATTTATTAAGTTAACAAAGAGTTACTTTATCTGTAACTTATATTTTCTATAATTGATATCTTGATTAACATGATAATTCTCATATTTCTTATTATTATGATATATTGATATGATAGCTTAATAATATATAATATTATGATAATCTGTTTAATATGAAATTTTCATATTTTTTATCATGCTATTTTCACAATATATTAAATTTAACATCAACCAAAGTAGTTTTAGCCTAGTGACATTTATGTAATTAAGCAAAGTAATAAAGATTTTTAGATAAAAAAATCTATTTATCCTTGTTAATTATCAAAATTTTTAGTTACTATTATTCACCTAAATAATAAGTTATATATGTATATATTTAACTTACTATTTGTGAATGGTATCGTTTTAAAGTTTTAGTTTTGTTTTATAAAAATAATATTTTATATTTCAATTTAAGATTTTGAAGTAAAGTTTCAATTTTAATATATTTTTAATGTAATATTAGAGACAATTTTGTATTTTTTACAACGAGAAATAATTATATTTAATATATTAATAAATAGTAAAATTTAATTTTCATAGTTTTTTTAATATCTGTAAAAAAATCTACAATTATGATTTTTGTAAAATAGTATATATTAGATATGTTTCAAAATGATATTCCCTATGTTTCATATTAGTTGTCGTTTAAGTTTTTTTCACATATATTATAAAAACATTTAAATTTTATGTTTTACCTTTCATTGATATACTAGTTTATTTGACATCATTAAATAATTATTTAATAAATTACGAATAAAATAATGTTTTGACAAAAATTTGTATTGAAATACACAAAACTACAACTAATATGAAATGTTATAGGTGTAGTTATTACATCTTTTACTTAATTTATTCATATAGGAATGTGTTTTGTAGTCAACAAAAAAGAATGTCTTTTTGTTTGGGAATTTTTGTTTTATCAAAGGAGTATGTTTTTTTAACGTGAGTTGTGGATTTTTTTACTACTGAAAAAAATTATTATCATATCTTACAAAAAAAATTACAATTACAAGAAGTTAGTCAAACATGTAATACATTATAATTAATAGTTTAAGCTACTATTTTTTTGACTGGTAATCCTTTGACTATTTGCTATTAATTATAATGTATAACATGTTTGACTAACTTCTTGTAGTTGTATTTTTTTGTCAACAGTAGTAATTGTAAATTATGGATTACATTTTTTGACTGGTTATTATCCCTTTTTGACATATTCTTCATTTATATTATCCTTTTTTACAAACATGAAGAATTTGTAAAAAGAAAATATCATGGATTACATTTTTGACTAGTTATTATCTTTTTGGTTTCCTTTTGTTTATTAATAGCAAACTTTATTCTGGAGTAACTCTCATTAATTTTGCTACTGATAAACAAAATGAAACCAAAAAGGATAATAACCAGTCAAATATTTGACTAATTTATTCTCATTAGAAGATTACGCAACTCTCAGTCTCACTCTACAAGAACAAGGTCATATTTCCAAAAGAAAAAAAAAAAAAAAAAATTGACTAAGTTTCATGCATAATAATTACTATAAATTCCTTTTCTTCTATAAAAACCCCAGTCTCGCATCCACAAAAAAAAAACATATTCCTTAACAAGAAAAAACAAAATCTTAATTTCAAGAAAAATCTCTTATCTTTTTAGGTAAATCTCAAATTCACTTCTTTTGCAACCAAAAAAAAATGATAGGAAAAAAAACAAAAGGAAAACAAAAGATAACCATTAGAAAAGTAGAGAAACTCGAAGACAGAATGGTCACTTTCTCCAAACGAAGAACCGGAATCTATACTAAGCTCACTGAGCTCTCCATCCTCTGCGGCAGCGACGTCGCCTTTCTCGTCTACTCCGGCGCCGGTAAACCGTACACCTTCGGCAGCCCATCGTTCGAAGCCGTGGCCGAGCGGTTCCTCAACGGAAATCAGCCAGTGAACAACGGCGAGGGCTTAACGTCTCCGTCGTCGATTGTGGAAGCTCACAAGAAAGTAAAGTTGGACGAGCTCTGCAAGACGTTCAACAAACTGATGGAGGAAACAGCCGAGGAGGAAGAGAAAGCGAAGACGTCTGCGGCGGCTATTGAACCGTCGTTGCCGGTGGAGATTGACGAGTGGTGGACAGTTGAACCGAAGAACAACGAAGAGGCGATGCAGTTGTTGAGGCGCTATGAGGAGTTTTACGGGAAGCTCTGTGAGGCTGCTGCTGTAAGAATCAGTGGAGGCGATGCTGCACCGTCAACGTCGACGTTTCCTCAAGTGACGTTGCCTCAAGTGAAACTCACTGGGAATTATTATAGCCGACTTGGCTGATCAACTAGAGTTTTTAGGCAGTATTATAGATTTAGATTAACATTTTAGTAATGGCATAATCAAGGATCATTTGTTATTCAATCGTAATCTGTCGAGACTCTTAAAGAGTAATAAAAAACTTTTATAATATATGTTTCTCAAATATTCGAAAATGTTTAATGTAGCTCACATATAAATATTTTGATGTTTGTAATAAACGGCGTTTGTTTGAACTTAACGTTTTGTCTATTTTGTCGCCAGATTTATTTACTAAGCTTTTCTTTGGGACGAATACAGATAATAAACGTTTTGTCACATTTTATATATTTGTCGCCAGACTTATTTTATCAAACAAAAAGCTTTTCTTTGGGACGAATACAGATGAAGAAAAAGTTAACAATTTAACTTTTTATCAATGCACGCAGAAATTAGGAAAACTTGTAGCGAGAACACTAACATCCAGAAAATTTAATTTTTTTTGTTGAAGTCTCACGAGTACCAACTAAAAAGGATAAACAAAATAATCCAGAAAAGAAAACAACAACATCCAGCATTGTAATACTTATAAGGATCTTCTACCCGCAAAATTAAAATACGAAAGAAAAAAGACAGAGCAACTTCGAATCTCTCAGAAAGTTTGATAAGTCAAGAATACCTTTAGGAGAGCTTCTACATGAACAAGTTGGGCTTGGAGGCCTTGTAGGTGGTCTTGAGCTTTCTGGTGGGAGGTCTAACCTTCCTGAAGACCAAGGGGAACTTGATCTTGCTGTTGTGAAACTGCTTCGTGCTCTCTCTCTTGCAGAGTGCGGCTGGGACAGTGGCTGTCTTGATGATCTGGATGCATGGGAACCTCACTCTGTGTCTCGACGCCATCTCAGTGTACATTTGCTCCACCGCTCCGTTCAATGTTGTGTCACGGAACTCCTTGTACATGTTGTGGTAACCTGTACGGCTCTGGTACCTCAGCCAGATTCCGAAGTTCTTGATCTTTGTTGGGTTCTTCTCAAAGATCTGTCGCAACATTCGGAGACAACTTGTTACAAATTTAATAGACAAGTATGAAAACTGAAGAAATTAACAAAGAATTCGCACACAAATACGATTCATATGTTACTCAATTACAAACACTTTAACATTCAATATTGTGAGTGTGAGGAAAAGGGACTTTAATAGATCGTTTCTCAAAGAAAATGGTTAGATGATTAATCACAAGCTCAAGAGATAAGTTGATTGAAATCAAGCTAAGCCTCAGCCAGAAAATAGACACAGAGAAAATCAAAGTCAAACATAAACAACAAAAATGTTCTCTATATCTAAGAGCCTATAACAAATCTACCTTTCTAACTCGTTAACACAGTAAAATCACACTAGCAACAGATCTTGCACCAAAATTTTCATTTTTGTGATCAATGGACCAATGAGAAGAGAGCAAATGAAGTACCTCGTTGATGGCAAGCATCTGTCCATTGCTCTTCTTCACCTTCTTCAGCTTCCTCAAGAAGTACCTGAATTTAAACGCATACGGCAATATTCTTCAAATATCTATTCAATCAACTTAATCCTGGAAATGAATGCTAATATATAAGAAATTTTTAAAAAAATTACTAACCAGAACTTGGACTTGGCACGAACCTCGTTCGTGGCCCAAAGCTTCATCCTGTAAATCTTAGGCTGCACATCCTTCTCTGTCGGAAGGGCTCTTCCCACAACCTGGTACTGGTGAAACTGCGATAAGAAACACATCACGGAAAAAGTTAATTTTCGGATCAGATTAGCCGAATCCAGAATCAATAATCATGAAATGGCTAAATTAGAGCCAGAGACGAAAGAAAACAGGTCAGATTTCACGAGCTTTACCCTGAAAACTCCCATTTTCGTCACGAGAGGAAGACTACTCTCCGCCGATAATTGATTCTTCCAAAAGACACAATCACTCTTCTTGCAGCTAATTTATATGACCTCTCTTTAAGGAGATCGAAAATAAAAACCCTAATCTGAAACTTTCTTACTGAATTACTCCAACTGGATCCGAAACCCTCAAGCCCATTGGGCTTTCTCCTGGGATTAAGATGTTGTTTAACAAATGTCACCCACATTTTACTGAATTCCGACCTAAGCTTCTGTTATTACATAACTTAAACAAATGCTAAATATATTCTCTCTTGTTATAAAATAATTATTCATAGTTTTGTTATTTAGCATTTGCATGCAATTTTGTCATTAAATATCTCCACCGCCTCTGCTTCATTATAAATAGAAGCACTCTCTTTTGTAATTGAGATCACGACTAAGAGTAATAAAAACACAATTTCTCACTTTCTCTACACCTCGCTCTCATCTCTCTCTTTATATCATTCAAATCACTTAATATATACATCAAACATATATCTTATATTATATAATAAATAATTTATAACACGTTATCAGCACAAACGTCTCTATATCCCGAAGTCAGATTTATATCCGGAAGTTATAATGTCAAATCTTGCGAAGCTCGAAATTGCTGCCCTTGATATTACTGGAAAGAATTATATGACATGAGCAGTAGGTGCAAAAATGCATCTACGAGGAAATGAGCTTCTTGATACCATCGATAAGTCGAAACCGACATCGGATGAGAAAAAAGGAAGAGCCATGATATTTTTACGTCATCATATCCACGATGGCTTAAAAGATGAGTACATCATCAAAGAAGATCCTGCAGATCTCTGGCAATCACTTAAAGAAAGGTTTGATCACCAAAAATATGTGATCTTACCAAAAGCCAGACACGAGTGGTTACATCTCCGGTTTCAGGACTACAAAAATGTTAGTGATTATAATTCTGCGATGTTTGGAATAACATCGAGAATGGTGTTATGTGGAGAAATAGTGAGTGATTATGATATGATTGAGAAAACTCTTTCCACATTTCACTCTGGTAATGTAGTCCTGCAACAACAATATCGGGCAAATGGATATACCCGTTATTCGGAGTTAATGAATGTTCTGCTTGTTGCAGAACAGAATAATAAACTCGTGATGATGAACTATCAAAGCCGTCCAACTGGATATGCACCATTCCCAGAAGCGAATGTTGCATCATCGAGCTATAATAATTGGCAAGGGCGTGGACGCGGACGCGGTCAATACCGTGGTCAAAATCGTGGTCGTGGATATGGACGTGGACGACGAAGAGGATATCGTCCACATGGTTTTAATAATGAAAAAGATGGTAAAAATTTTCATGATGATAATGATGGCCGGAAAATGAAAAGGAAGAAGGAAACTGTTTGTTTCAGATGCGGCATGAAAGGTCATTTGGTACGTATTTGTCGTACGCCAAAACATTTAGCCGATCTGTACCGGGAATAACAGAGAGCAAAAGAGAAAGAAAGGGAAACAAACTTTCTTTCTGATGATTCCAGACCTTCTTTTCACGGCCTTGATGACGATACTCATCTCGATATCTCGGATTTCGAAGTTGATCTAGAAGGATCAACTGAATCAAAGAAACAAAAATCGATGTAAAAAAATGTCTTCCTGAAGAAAACATAAAAACAAAAGCTTAATGTCTTAATGTATTATATGCTTCTGTTTTTAGTGTTTTTGTTGTAGATTCTATTGTATCATAAGTTGTATTGCCAGGTATATGTTTAATATTTATTAATACATCTTTTATGAATATTTTAAATTCAGAAAATGCCAGAATTTGAGACTATGGATGGAGAAATATGTCTGGCAGACAGTGCTACAACGCACACGATTATTAAAGATAAAAAGTATTTCTCCAGTCTCAAAATAAGTGATTCCGCTGAAAGCGTGAATACGATATCTGGTAATGCAAAAATTATTATGGGCTCTGGAAGAGTCAGTTTTTCAATGCCAAGGGGAACAAAGTTTGAGATAAATGAGGCATTATATTCTCCTAAGTCTTACAGAAACTTATTAAGTTTCAAAGAATCCGCGGAAAAGGATATCATATAGAGACTATGAATAAGAATGACATTGAATATCTTTGCATTACATTAGAGAGGAAACATATATTGGAAAAATTGAAAATGTTATCCTCTGGATTATATTGCACAAAAATAAACATGACTGAATCATATATTACAGTAAACCAGAAGTTTACTGGTACATTTAAAGTTTGGCATGAAAGGTTAGGCCATCCTGGTTCAGTCATGATGAGAAAGATTGTGCAAAATTCTAATGGCCATCCGTTGAAAAACGGGAAAATAATACAAATGGGCGAGTTTTTATGTAATGCTTGTTCTCAAGAAAAACTCGTAACTCGGCCATCACCAGCCAAAGTTGGGAATGAATCACCAGAATTTTTGGAAAGAATACATGGTGATATATGTGTGCCGATCCACCCACAATGCGGGCCGTTTAAATATTTTATGGTTTTGATTGACGCATCTAGTAGATGGTCACATGTGTGTCTATTGACCACACGAAATACGGCTTTCGCTAAATTCATTACCCAAATAATCAGGTTGAGAGCGCAATTCCCTGATTATGTTATAAAGAAAACAAGGCTGGATAACGCTGGTGAATTCACTTCACAAGTGTTTAATGATTATTGTATGTCATTGGGAATCGATGTTGAGCATCCGGTTCCGCATGTTCATACACAAAATGGCATGGCTGAGTCATTAATTAAACGGTTGTAATGGGTTGCAAGGCCGTTGATATTGAGAACAAGGCTCCCAATTAATGTATGGGAATATGCTATTTTGCATGCAGCGGCCCTGATCCAGATACGGCCAAGTGCATATTATGAGTATTCTCCATTACAATTGGTATCTAGACAGGAGCCAAATATATCCCATCTTCGTGTGTTTGGGTGTGCGGTCTATGTCCCTATAGCGCCACCCTAAAGAACAAAAATGGGACCACAAAGAAGATTGGGAATCTACATCGGTTATACGTCACCGAGTATAATCAGGTATCTTGAACCAGTAACTGGTGATATGTTTACGACATGTTTGGCCGATTGCAGATGAATTCCCCGCGTTAGGGGGAGGATTGAGAGAATCACCAAAAGATATCACTTGGTGTACAAAATCTTTGGCTTATCTTGATCCTCCTACCAATCAACGTGAGATGGAAGTTCAGAAAATTGTACATATGTAAAATATGGCAAACCAGTTACCAGATGCGTTCACAGATACAAAGAGGGTGACAAAATCATATATCCCCGCAGCAAATGTTCCATTCAGAATTAGTGTTCCTGAAGAACACATTGATGGGAATATATCAAATGAACCTAGGGTTCAGTTAAAGAGGGGGAGACCTATGGGTTCTAAAGATAAAATTCCCCGAAAGAAAAAGAATATGGGAGAAGAAAGTAAAAAGGTTCTAGAGGAACCATTTAAAGAAAAATGTCTTGAAGACATTTGTGAAAATGTTCTAGAAGAACCAGATAAAGAGATTCGTCTTGGAGACGAATGTGAAACAGAAAAATATGAGATTTTCATCAATTACGCCCAAAATGGAGAATTATGGATCAGAGATAAGATAAAAGATATTGATGGAATATTCTCATTTTCTGTATATAAAGAGCTTGAAAGCGATGATCCAGATCCAATGTCCATATTAGAATGTCAGAAAAGACATGATTGTGAGAAATGGAAAATGGCCATTGAAACAAAATTATTCTCCCTAAATAAAAGAAAAGTTTTTGGACCTATTGTCACAACACCAAAGCATGTAATGCCCGTTGGATACAAATGGGTGTTTGTAAGAAAGAGAAATGAGAAAAATGAGGTCACAAGGTATAAAGCAAGGCTTGTGGCACAAGGTTTTTCTCAAAGACCGGGAATTGATTATGAGAAAACATATTCCCCGGTAATGGATGCAATAACTTTCAGATTCTTAATGAGTCTAGCAGCATCCATGAATTTAGACATGTATCTGATGGATGTTGTGACCGCATATTTATATGGATCACTGGAGAATGATATATATATATATATATATGAAAATCCCAGAGGGATTAAAAATGCTGGAAGCATTAAGATCAACATCTAAAGAGATGTGTGTGATCAAATTACAGCGATCACTTTACGGATTAAAACAATCCGGACGCATATGGTATAATCACTTAAGTGAATATTTGTTGAGTAAAGGTTATGTCAACAATGCGATATGCCCTTGTGTGTTTATTAAGAAATCCGAATCGGGATTTGTGATCATTGCTGTTTATGTTCATGACCTGAATATAATCGAAACTCAAAAAGAGATTGATGATGCAAGAACTCATATCAAAGAAGAGTTCGAAATGAAAGATCTTGGAAAAACAAAGTTTTGCCTTGGGCTCCAAATAGAGCATTTCCAAGATGGTATATTTGTGCATCAATCAAATTCTACGAAAAGAATCTTGAAACGCTTTAGTATGGATAAAGCGACTCTTTTGAGTACTCCGATGGTCAATAGATCGCTTGATGTTGATATAGATCCATTTCGGTCATGTGATGATAGCGAAGAAATATTAGGTCCTGAAGTACCTTATATGAGCGCTATCGGTGGGCTTATGTAACTTGCAAATTGTACTAGACCTGATATAGCTTTTGATACTAATTTACTTGCAAGATACAGCTCATCTCCTACACGCCGACATTGGAACGGAATAAAACATATATTCTGTTATTTACAAGGTACCATTGAATTTGGTTTATTTTATTCTCGAAACCCCGAGTTTGGTATGGTTGGTTTTGCAGATGCAGGATATTTATCGGATCCGCATAAGGCTAGATCGCAAACCGGATATGTTTTTACAATTGGAGGAACTGCGATCTCTTGGCGTTCCCAAAAGCAAACTTTGGTTGCAACATCTTCAAATTATGCATAAACTATTGCATTACATGAAGCTTGTAGGGAATGCGTGTGGCTCAGATCAATCATTCATCATATACAAGATGCAAGCGGTATGGAAACAAAGAAAGAGCCAACAAAAATATTTGAAGATAATGCTGCATGTGTCGCTCAACTTAAGGAAAGTTATATTAAAAGTGATCGAACGAAACATATCCCTCCAAGATTTTTCTCTTACACAAAGAAGCTCGAGAAAAACCAGGAAGTGGATATTCAATATGTTCGTTCATGCGACAACGCAACAAATCTATTTACAAAAGCGCTTACAACATTCAGAAAACATGTTCACAACATCGGAATACGACATCTCTGAGATTTTTGAAGAAAAGATCAGATCCATCATTTCGATAGGGAGTATTACTGCACTCTTTTTTCCTCATCATATCTTTTATCCCAAACGGGTTTTTCCATAATAAGGTTTTTAACGAAACAGTACGTAATATATCATTAATAATGAATAATCAAGGGGAGTGTTATAAAATAATTATTCATAGTTTTATCATTTAACATTTGCATGCAATTTTGTCATTAAACATCTCCACCGCCTCTGCTTCATTATAAATAAAAGCACTCTCTTTTGTAATTGAGATCACGACTAAGAGTAATAAAAACACAATTTCTCACTTTCTCTACACCTCGCTCTCATCTATCTCTTTATATCATTCAAATCACTTAATATATATATCAAACACATATTTTATATTATATAATAAATAATTTGTAACATCTCTATTGTCTTTCTACAGTTTTTACTTTATTATGTTTGACCATTTTATGACTATTTTGCCACTCTTATATATGAGAGATACAAAATAATTATGTTTGAAAGGTACAAATAAAAAGAGCTACTCTGAAAACATTGTGAACTTTCTTCAGTTTACAAGTACCAAAAGATTTCATTGGATCCTTATATTGTAGCCACCAAACAAAACAGATCACACGAATATATTAATTGAAGATGTCATCAAGAGAATTATCAGCATATACATAGTTGTTAAAACATTATAAAATATTTTGTAACACATAATTACAAAGTATTTTTTTCGTTCTGCAAATCACTAGAATCTTCAGTGACATGATCTTATCTACATATATGTAGGATTGAGTTATGAAGGTAGTTTCACCAGATGCTGCTAACATTCCCGGCCATCCCGAGCGTTACGGCAATCAAATAGACAACGGCCTGGAAGATTTCAGTCAGCATAACGAAAGACGTATGGTGATGTAATGAGAGAGAGAGAGAAACTTACTGCGATTGCACAGGCAACGTAACCTGCCTTCTCGCGGTGATCAACAGACGTGCACAGAATAATAACAGCTCCTAGGTACCAAGGGATCCCACCGAACAAGAAACCCATTATAAACCTGCCACCAAAGCCAAAACCTTTAAATATTAGCGAACAATCACAAGATTCAAGTCACGAGATGTATGTGTTTTCAGTTTTCATGTGTTCATATGAAACAATGAAACAAGATTCAAGACGGTATAACAAACACATCTATTTACGTTTATCGAACAGCAACTGTCTCGGTTCTCTTTTGAATCTTGTACATAAGTAGGCATAGACGACAAGTGACAACCGACAAGTCTCAGGAAGAAATTTCTCAGGCTTTGATATCAACTCAAAGCCTGAGAGAACGAGAGAGTTTAACGCAACAAGAAGAGTACCACACAATGGCTAAAGATCAGAACGTTAGGTAAAAGAGATGGGCAAACACAGAGATTCCAGGAGAGACGAGTCTATTGTTTTTACAGAATCTAAGGCAAGTTCTACAAAACAAGCTGGGATTTTTCTGTGTCACAACTAGATAGATTGATAATAATCTAAAATCTACAGACCATGGACCCAGTTTCCAAAAGTTCAAACTATGATTCAATATCAAATGAATTTGGGAATTTCATATAGAGAGACAGCATGTTAAGGAGAAACTCACAAGAACCAGCCCATGCCAAAGCCACAGCAAGGAAGGTCATGATGCTCTCTCATCTGTCTCACCTCAACCACCGTATATTCTGAAACAGCAAAACCCAGATTCAATACTGTAACATTTACCAATATCACAGATCAAATCTCTAATATTCCGAACAAACTCAACAAGATTGGATAGTATAAATAGAAGATTTCACCACAAATGAATAGCTAAAGTTTAGCATAAGGTATGGAAGTACCAGGAACAACTGGGAATCCTTGAGCATAATTAACAAAACCACCACCAGGAGGACCTAACAATCTCAAACACGAAACAATCACAAAACAATACAAAAGACCCCCAAAAATCATAATAGTAATTAGAGAGAGAGAGATTAAAACCTTGGGGATTCTGATAAGCATACCCAGGATGAAACAAGGGAGTCGTAGCAATAGGATGCTGCGGTGGCGGAGCCGGAGGATGATAATTCGCAACGCCTTGAAACGTTCCGTAATAGTATTGATGCTGCTGATTCGCGGTGGAGTCTCTAGGTTTTGTTGCTTCCTCGTCCATGGTTGAGAGATCCGTTAGCCTAAATTTCTCCCACACCGGTTTGACGCAGAGACTTGAGAATTAATCGATTTCCCCCGCCGCGTTTACCGATGGCTAACGGCAGATCTACCGGCGATGGAAAGAAGGGAGACTTGAGGAAGATGGACGAGAATCGTTTAGAGGAGAGACCGAGGAGGACTCAAAAGACAATATGCACATTAACCGGATTTGCCACCCAGATTCATTATAACCGGGTCGCGCCAAATTATTCTTTTTTCAACATGGGCTGATGACATTTATAAGAGCTTAGTTAAAAGCCTATTAACACTCTTTTCGGACAAAACGTAGATCAGATTTGGTCTGATGGCATATTATTACTATGGAAATGAAAACCATCATTTGAAATTATGAAGATTCACATTTTTTGTTCTATAGCAATAATCGTATGATTACTGAAAATTGAGAAATGGTTCAGTGGCGGACATAACTCTTTCCCCCAAGACTCAGAAGCAGCTCCCACATCTTATCTTTCAACGTGGCTCCCAAGTACTGTGTAAAAGTTCTGATTCAAAGTCAGTTGTTTACCAACGAGAATATTGAGAGCACACTGATTTCAATCACAATCCTCAAAAGAGAGTTCAGAGCCATGGTAAGTTATTAAACTATGTACTGATCCATATCGCTACCGCTCTTTTGTAAAATCCGCTTCCCATTCTCGAGTTTCTTCTTCCGATTTCTGCTCTTGTGTTTCTTTTTTTTTCATGGGGTTTTGGTTCTGAAGCAAGTCCACGTTTCTGACTCCGAGTGGGAAACCATGTATGCTCTCATATATTCCAAGTGGTTGGATTATTCGACAGATACCAACTCTGCAAGCGGACGTATCTTTTCGAAATAATCAGGTGTATCTTCAAGCTCCTGATGAACCAAAATCAACCAAGAAAAATCTCAAAAACAACCAAAATTTTGATTTATTTAAGCAGAAAGTAACTAGTGCTTGTAGTGATGGAGAGAAAATATTTGTACTCTATTCAATTCTATGATGAACAAAACCAAATCATATAGACAGCTAATCTACAATCTCAATGCTGGTGATAATTCCAGAAGAATTTAATAATGATTATAGTCTTCAGTATTTAACAATAAACCAAATACATTAATTTGAAGTGATTAATCGATTCTATCCTTCAGATACGAAGTAACATCGAGCTTACACCATCTGTATAATTAATTTTCAAAATTCCATCCGTAAAGATTGACCATGAGGATGCAACTTGTGGATTTCTACTCTATACAAATTAGTTCATAACAACTAAAGAACCAAAAATACTCTATAGCTGCATTTGTATTTTTTTTACACCTAGTTATCAATAAAAGCAACTCAAAATCTAATCAATCAGGTAGCCAACAAGAATCAGGTGCTAAAAAGAAGTTGCAATAAGAACATTCGTCTATAAAACCACAAAGTCGAACCTAAAAACAAGATGTTACAGCTTAACAAAGAAGAAAGCTGTTTTGTTTGGTCGAAAGAAGAAATCTTTTTGGAGCGAAATCAAAAGAGAAGCCGAGAAACAAAAAATGCGAAAAAAAAAATTTGTACAAAGGGAAGATAGAAGATGATTGAATCAGAAAGAAGCTCATTTGACAAGTCACTCAGACTGAGTATCCGGAAGATTCGGCACAGCAGAGTTATAGCTGCACCAAGAAACATTTCAATGGATAAAACAGACTGCTCTTAAGTACCTGCTATATCTCATCATCTTCATCATCTAACAATTTTCCCAGAATGAAAAAAAAACCCAGCTCTTATCTCTACACTCTAAATCAAAGATCAAGAAAACTGAAAAAGTTCATGAACGCGAAGACTGAAAAACAAAAACGAGGAATGAGAATCGATTAATCATGAGATCGCCGGTGAGGATTGCGAATTGGAGAGGACGGCGGCGAGTAGAGAAACAGAGCGAAGTTTCAGCTTTTGAAAGGAGCGGACAATTATATAAACCCTATTACTCTCTTACCAAACCTAACCGAAATATTTATGATCTCCGGTACGAAATTTCGAATTGACATTGGTTTCTTGGTTTACCGATAGACTTATCAAAATATTCAAGAAAAATTAGCTTTTGAACTTAAATTCTCGTTTTACATTCAATAATTGCTTTTGCATAAAGGATAAATGAGTTCGAATTTCTAGTACTTAAAACCGATGGATAAACATACAAAATCCCAGAAGAATTCTTGGGTTGCAATGACAGTTTTTCCTGGTACACGGGTGTAAAACCGGGACATCTAGATACAAAGTTACTAAACCCAACCGATAACGAGAAGAACAAGAACCGAAACCCCAAACCCGAAACCAGCCCCGATTCTCTTCGACCCGGCGAACCAAACTCTAACGTCATCGATCACAGGTCCACACAAGGAGCTTATATCATCTGTCCTCGTGTTGTAGTAAACGCTGTAGAACGCGACCCTAGTTCGATCAGCCTTGGCCGTGAAATTCAAACCGACTTTTTCGAAACTGGAGTTTGCTTGCGCTATGTAATGAAAGTTCTTCGCCTGATCGTCTGCGAATTGTTGGTTTCGTAATGTATTCAGAAATTAGAGGAAGAGAAAACAGAGTATCAGAACTGAATACTTTCGGATGATTTTATTCAATTAGACGATGTTCTTTAAATAGGACTTTACACTAAGCAACAAACACCGCATCAACCGGATCTTAACAAGAAATAGATTCTCAAATCTTACGTGCATTGACTCCTACATCTTAGGAGACTTATTCAAACTTATTCTTCAATCCTTCCCTTAAACTGAAACCGCTCCTTTCAGTTTATTCTTCTTCCACACACACCCCCATTCTGCTTCTGAGCTTCTCAAATGCTTCCAACTTGATTGCTTTAGTCATCATGTCCGCCAACTGATCATGAGTTACACAATACTCGAGCTGTATCACTTCTTCATTCACGAGTTCTCTTAGAAAGTGATACCTTACATGTATGTGTTTGCTTCACCCGTGCAACACTGGATTTTTCGTCAGCTTGATGGTAGAGCTGTTGTCACAGTACACGCTAGTCCCTTCTTCTTGACCAGAACCAATCTGCTTCAGGATGTTCCTTAACCATACGGCCTGACATGCACCATAGGCTGCAGAAACAAACTCTGCTTCAGTTGTGGATAAGGTGACGATAGGCTGCTTCTTTGATGCCCACGAGATGGCTCCTCCACTTAACATGAATACATACCCGGATGTACTTTTCCTGTCATCCATATCTCCTGCATAATCACTGTCCACATATCCCACAAGCTTCTTTTCTGCAGTTCGCTTGTATCTAATACCATATGTGAGAGTACCTTGGACATACCTTAAGATTCTCTTTGCAGCTAGCAAATGTTGTTCTGTTGGATTCTCCATATATCTACTAACCAGATTAACTAAATAGATCAAGTCTGGTCGAGTAGTAGTCAAATACCTTAGGCTTCCAACTAGTTGTTTGAACATGGCTGGATCGACTGTTTCTCCTGTTCCTGCCTTTGTCAGCTTCTGTCCTGGTACAATCGGATTTCTCACCAAGTTGCAGCTTTCCATACCATATTTCTCCACTGTTTCTTCAGCATGCTTTTGCTGATTGATGAAAATTCCATACTCATCTTGAATAACTTCTACGCCCAAGAAGTATTTCATCTTCCCCAAATCGGTCATTGAAAACTCCTCCATCATGGATTTTTTGAACTCATCAAGTACCTCAAGAGAGCTCATGTGTATATCAGGTCATCCACATAGAGACTCACTAGAAGTATACTTAATCCCCTCCTTTTGATGAAAAGAGTATGCTCACAATAGCATTTCTCAAAGCCTTCTCGCTGAAAGTATCCCTCAATGCGGCTGTACCATGCTCTTGGTGCTTACTTGAGGCCATATAGGGCTTTCTTCAGCTTGTACACCTTGTTGGGATCGTCTATTACTTCAAACCCCTTTGGCTGTTCAATGTATACATCTTCTTCCAATTCTCCTTGCAGGAAAGCGCTTTTAACATCTAACTGAAACACTTTCCAGTTTTTCTCTGCAGCAGTAGCAAGAATAGATCTGATAGTGTCCCATCTAGCAACTGGTGCGAACACTTCATAGAAGTATATCCCATGCCTCTGATGATACCCTTTTGCAACTAATCTTGCCTTGAATTTGTCAAGATCTCCTTTCTCATTAAACTTTGTTTTGAAGATCCATTTAACTCCGATCACCTTGGCTCCTTCAGGCAAGTCTACAAGCTCCCATGTCTTGTTTTCTTCTATGGAAGAGATTTCGACCTCCATTGCTTTCCTCCATACCTCCTCTTGTTGTGCTTCCTCAAAACTGCCAGGATCTCCTGATGCAATAAACATTGCAACCATGTCTTCTCCTTCTTCTCGTATGAGAAATCCTGCAGTTCCTCGTACATAATCTTTCATCCAGACTGGAGGTTGTCTATCTTTTTCTGGCCTAGCAGTGGGATCCTCAATGTTTTCTGCTTCTGCTGCAGTTTCTGCAGTTTCTCCTTCTGCGGGGGGTTCTGCTGCAGGGGTTTCATTGTGATGATCAGCTTCATTTCCATTCTGATTATCATCTCTATCTCCATTTTGATCATCTGGTGGAACTTCTGTTGCTCTCTCCTCTCTCTCTGCAGTAAGATCCTCACATCTCAGTTCTTCTGCTTGCTCATCTCTTTCCCAATCCCATCCTTGGCTTTCATCAAAGTGCACATCTCAGCTCAAAGTTATCTTCTTTGTTTCAGGGTTGTAGAGCCGATATGCCTTCGATTCTTTACTTAGACCAAACAGCACATACTTGGTACTCTTCTCATCTAGCTTGATTCTCTTTTCATACGGTACCAAGGCATATGCAGTACACCCAAAAACTCTTAGATGCTCAACTGACGGTTTGTGATTACTCCATTTCTCTGCAGGCGTTACATCTCCAAGAGCTGCAGACGGGCTTCTATTCAGTATATGTACTGCATATTGTGCTGCCTCAGGCCAGAATCTTTGTGGAACAGCCATCTCTAAGAGCATGCAGCGTGTCATATTCATGATGCTTCTGTTCTTTCTTTCAGCTATCTCTTTTTGTTGAGGAGTGTAGGCAGTCGTGAGCTGTCGCTTGATCATGTTCACTCTGCAGTATTCCTCAAATGCAGTAGAGTTATACTCTCCTCCTCTGTCTGACCTTAAGCATACCAACGCTTGTCCAACTTCTCTTTCTGCTGCCGTTTTAAACACTTTGAATGTGTTGAGCGCTTCCGATTTTTCTGTCAGAAAGTAGCTCCAACATTTCCTACTGTAATCATCTATGAAATTGATGATATACCTCTTCCCGTTTTCTGATGTTGGAGTGATGGGTCCGCATATGTCAGTGTGGACTAGCTGTAGCACACGAGTTGACTTCCATAAACTCTTCTTCGGAATCGCATCACGGTTCTGCTTCCCTTTCATGCAGATTTCACAAGTGCCTTCTGCATCGTCCCTCATGGTAGGTAATCCGTTTACCATGCTCTTCTCAGCTAGAGCCTTTAAGCCTCTATGGTTGAGGTGACCAAACCTCTTATGCCAAAGATGCTCTGTCTTCTCCATAACTTGAAGGCATTTCGTCTCACTCAGCTCCTTAGCGTTTCTCACGCTAGCTAGAATGATGAACATTATATTCTTAGACATAATAGAATGCATGATAAGCCTTCTCTGTTCCTTGCTCCAAACTTCACATACATCATTCTCAATGATGATTCTCAGCCCCTTCTGTTGTAATTGCCCCACGCTTAGCAAGTTGTTCTTCAAACCGGGCACATAGTATACAGAGGTGATCACTAAGATTGATCCATCAATCTCCCACCGTAGGTTGCCTCTCCCTTCTACGGACATTCTTCGATCATCACCTAGCTTCACATTTTGTTTAAAGCTGCTGTCAATCTCCATGAACCACTCCTTTTCTCCACACATGTAGTTGCTGCAACCAGAATCTAAGAACCAGATATGTTCTTCTTCTCCTTTGATCATGTTAACATGTGCCATGAGAAGCATATCTTCTTCCATCTCAACATAATTAGCCTCCTTTTCCCAGTCTGGGCATTCTGACTTGTAGTGGCCCTTCTTATGACATTTGTAGCATTCCACCATTTCCTTATTGAAGCTACTGCTGCCACGTCCTCTGCCTTGATAGCCACTTCGTCCTCTTCCTCGAGGTGTGTATCTTCCTCGGCCTCTTCCTCCCTCATATCTCCGTTGTTCTTCAACCTTAAGCGCTTGTTCTTCACCATTGTGTCTGCTTAGATTTTGTTCATGAACCATCAAGGAACTCTGCAGGCCATCAACCGTCAATTCCTTGATGTCATTGGATTCTTCAATGGCGCAAACAACATATGTGAACTTCTCCACCAGAGTTCTCAGAATTTTCTCCACCACCTTTGAATCTGGCATTTCCTCTCCTAAGTTTCTCATGTTGTTTGCTACTTCCATTACTCTTGAAAAGTAACCTGTGATTGATTCTCCAAACTTCATCTCAAGCACTTCGAAATCTCTGCGTAGTCTCTGCAGCTGGGCACTTTGAACTCTGTCATTCCCTTGATACTTCCTCCTCATCGATTCCCATAAATCCTTTGACGTTTCTTTCTTGAGGATTGTCTTAAGAATCGTCTTATCAATCGATGCGAACAGATAATTCTTCACCTTATGATCCTTCACTGTCTTCTCTGCCAACTCCGTTCTTTGTGGTCCGGTCAGGATTACATTTCTCTCCGGTCTTGGAATCCCCGTCTCGATAAGATCCCACCACTCTTTGGATCTTAGCAAGTTTTCCATCACCATTGCCCAGTGTTCGTAGTCTCCATCGAACCGTGGAATAATCAGTGTATCTTTCTCACTCATTCTTTTCACTCACTCGTATCAGCCCTTTAACAAGCTCTGATACCACTTGTTGGTTTCGTAATGTATTCAGAAAACATAGGAAGAGAAAATAGAGTATCGAAACTGAGTACTTTCGGATAATTTTATTCAATAAGACGATGTCCTTTAAATAGGACTTTACATTAAGCAACAAACACCGCATCAACCGGATCTTAACAAAAAATAGATTCTCAAATCTTACGTGCATTGACTCCTACATCTCATGAGACTTCTTCAAACCTTGAATCAATCAACTTAAGCTAAACGACATAGTTTATTCTTCACGAATGCCATAATCGCCAATGGTTCCTTGCATTTATCACCCGCGTGGCCGAGTGAGAAAGTCAATAAGTAGGGACGGTCCGCTTTGGTCTCGACCATTTGGGAAATAATCCCTTCTTTGCCAGAGAGAAGCTCGACGGCACGTTTTCCCCTGGAACAGAGAAGTGGTCCGAGTCCACGAACCGAACCGCCCGGTTCGATTCAACAGTCCAACCTGGAAGAGACGAGGTTTCTTCGTCGAGATTTGTCAGAAGTAGGACACCAAGTGACGTGTTCCTGAACATCCATAGACCTTATTCGAAGTCTCCGTTTATCACCGCGTTATCTGGAAATGTAAAATGATCAGGGTGAAAGTGAAACGATTTTAAAGCTTAGGGGTTGTATTAAATAAACAGATAAGTAGATTAGAGACAAAATGAATAACAATTAATTTACTTTTGAGCTAATCAGGGTACAATCAAAACAATTTTAAAACTTAGGGGGTTATATTAGAAAAACAGAAAAGTCTATCTGAGATTAAAAAAAAAAGAGTAAACAATTGATTTACCTTTGAGCTTATCAACGTATAATCAGAACAATTTTAGAATTTAGAGTATCCGCATCGGAGAGCTCAGAAAAAAGCTCTTCAAATTTTTATATTATTAAAAAAAATTGATTTTTTTAAAAGAAAATTGATTTTCAAAAAAAAAAAATAATAAATAAATCGACGAGTTATATCTCGCCACATCATCCAAAGTCGATCATATAATCTCTAGATAGAGAATCAACTTCACATTTTAGTCTTGCCACATCAATATTTAATTTATTTATTTTTTTCTTTTTTTCTTTAGAACTTCCTAAAAGCCGTGCATTAATCATGCTCTTAGGAAGTCAAAAATTAGAAATGAGAAATTAGAAAAGTTAAAGTGTAACCGGAAAAACAAGAAAAGAGTTTACCTTTGGGTTGATCAGGATTCAGGAGTAAAGAGCTTCTTGATAGCGATGTCATCGATGATGGGCCCGCACGTGGGGTCATCTTCCATGCCAGGATTCTTGAAAATCAACCGAACATGATCTTCTTCCGCTTCAAACGCCCAAGCGTATGGGTCCCACCCCTGCACGCTGTACAGCGTCTGCAAATCCACGTTCCGGGACGCCAAAATCTCATCCACCGACACGTTTATCGATTCGAGCTGCGCGCACGAGCGGCGCTGAACGTGACGGAGTAGACGAAGCCTCTCTCCACCGTCAGATCCTGGCTGATCTCTGCGTCGTTGCCTAATCGGACGGCGTGACGACCTTGTGGAACGATCAGGATCATCCCGCCTTGTTTCTGACCGGAATTAACCAGCTTCACTGTACCGTTTGATTTCCAGCTTGGGATTTCGGTGGATCCATCATTACTCCATCGTCAGGGAAGCCATTCGACGGTGACGTCTTGAAGTCGCCGTTTACTACCAAACCTGCAATAACAAATTATAAAAAGTTCCAGTGAATTTAAGTTAACTATCAATGTATCCATAACAAAACTCAAAGTGAAATCGGAATGTTTAAGATAGTATTAGCGTATTGTAGCGTATTGTACATATGGTTTAGATGAGTATACATAATTTCGGTTAAGGATTCTTGAATGTCCGGTTTATTATATTGTTATTTCTGATTATTGAGTTGTATATATATATATTATAAATGCTTTATTTTACGTTTAATAAAGTTTTTTTCATTTTATACTTTTTTCTCGATAGATCGTAAGTGGTAATATGATATCAGAGTATTTTTTTGCTTGTTTTTCCTTTGATCTGTCTTTGATTCGTCGATTTTATTTGTTTTTCTCATGGATTTGGTTGATTTGAGCTTGGATTTACGTTCGATTGATCTCAGAATCTCCAAATTTGCTCTTGTGAGCTGATTTTGAGTATCGATTTGTCATTTGAGCTCCGATCTTCTTCAATGGTGAAGCAAAACAAGAAATCATGTGGTCAGAATCACTCGTCGACACTAGAAAATTCACTGATGAAGACTTGTGCTGCTTCTTGCCGTGGATCTTCTCTTCCGGTAGAATCTGAAGTCGCAATCACTCCACATCCCAATTTTCTGGCTAATCGCAACAGATCTCGTACAAGCTCTGACGTTATGGACTCATACGATACCGTTCATAGTCCTTTCTTCCTTCACTCAGACGATTATCCAGGTTTGTCCATCGTCTCATACATCCTTGATGGCACGAACTACAACACTTGGTTGATAGCTATGCGAATGAGTTTAGATGCGAAGAACAAGCTTAGCTTTGTAGATTGATATCTTCATAGGCCTGAGATTGAGGATACCTCGTTTAAGATCTGGAGCCGTTGCAACAGCATGGTTAAGGCTTGGATATTGAACGTAGTCAACAAAGAAATTTATGATAGTATTCTCTACTATGATGATGCGGTAGAAATGTGGAACGATTTGCATTCTCGGTTCAAGGTCAGCAATCTTCTTAAGAAATATCAACTTGAGCAAGCTATCATGACACTCAAGCAAGGGACTCTGGATCTTTCTGCATATTACACCAAAAAAAAGAATTTTTGGGAACAACTTGCTAACACCAAGAGTTCCACGGTCCAGAGGTGTAATTGTGATCATGTTCAAGAACTTTTAGAAGCTGAGACAAGCCGAATCATTCGATTCTTCATGAGACTTAATGACAATTTTGCTAACATTCGAGGTCAGATTCTGAACATAAAGCCAAGACCAGCACTAGCAGCGATCTACAACATGTTGGATCAAGAGGAGAGCCAGTCTATTGTTGGTAGGAACAATCAGAATGTTTTCTCTAACCCCACGGCTTTTCAAGCATCTGCACAATCTCCAATTCCTGATCAGTCTCAATTTTTCTGACTCAAGGCGGTTATCAAAAACCTAAATGTTCTCACTGTCACAAGATAGGCCACATTGCTGATAAGTGCTACAAGCTACATGGTTATCCACCTGCATCTAAGAAGAAGGATCAGAATATTGGAACCACCAACATGGCTGCAGCTGATCAGATGGTTGAACATTCTGTCTCTGCATAAGAGGATATGTCTAGGGATGAGATCCACACTATGATCTCTTACCTTAGCTCCAAACTCCAAATTTCAGCTGACACCACACCTGACAAGAATTGTGCTTCGACTTCATCATCCACACCAGTTGTTTCACAAATCTCTGGTACTTTCATGAATCTTTACTATAACGTCTATTATGACATGCTCATATCTTCTGTATCTAAGGAACCAGTTGTGTCTCTTAGAGCTTGGATAATAGATTCAGGAGCATGTTACTCATAATATAGAACTATATGTAGAGTGTCGCATCGTAGAGAACACATTTGTTACTCTTCATAATGGTTATACGGTTAGGATTGTGGGCATAGGCTTGATTCGGTCAACTGATACTATCTCTCTGCATAATGTTCAATATATCCCTGAATTTAAATTCAGTCTGATCTCTGTCAGTGTTTCACTGCTGATCAATGGTTTATTCAGGATCTTACTCGGGAGTTGATGATTGGTCAAGGTAGTCATGTTAGCAGTCTATACATTTTGGATTTTCATGCTTTGAATAATATTGTTTCTCTAAAAGGTACCACCATCTGTTCCTCTCTACATGTCTGTTCTAATGTCGTTGTTGATTCAAGTGTATGGCACAAACGCTTAGGTCATCCTTCGGAGTCTAAAGTTGATATTCTTTCTGATGTTTTACAGTTAAAGAATATAAAGATGAATAAAACTGGTTCTCATGTTTGTCATATTTGTCATTTGTCTAAACAGAATCATTTTCCATTCAAATCTCGTCATAACATTTGCAAAGAACCTTTTGAATTGGTGCATATAGATACATGGGCTCCATTTTCTGTACCTACTATTGACAGTTTTAAGTACTTCTTAACAATTGTTGATGATTATAGTAGAGCAACTTGGATTTACTTGATGACACAAAAGTCTGATGTTTTGCACATATTTCCTGGTTTCATTGCAATGGTTGAGACACAATATAAAGTGAAAGTTCAATCTGTTTGATTTGATAATGCTCATGAACTGAAATTTCATCATCTGTTTACTGAAAAAGGCATTGTTGCATATCACTCATATCCTGAAACACCTGAACAGAACTCGGTTGTAGAGAGAAAGCATCAGCATATACTAAATGTAGCTCGTGCCCTTCTTTTTCAGTCTAATGTGCCTTTAGAGTATTGGAGCGATTGTGTATTAAATGTTGTGTTTCTAATCAATAGGCTTCCCACACCCATTTTAGATAACAAGTCTCCTTACGAGAAACTCACTAGCAAAACCCCTGACTATCAATCCTTAAAAATGTTTGGTTATTTATACTACTGTTCCACTTCTCCAAAGGGTAGACATAAGTTTGAACCTCGCTCTAGAGCATGTATCTTCTTAGGATATCCAGCTGGTTACAAGGGTTATAAACTATTAGATATAGAGACACATGCTGTTTCCATTTCCCATCATGTCATATTTTATGAGGATACTTTCCCTTTGGCTTCATCCAACATTTCGAATGTCATAAAAGATTTCTTTCCTCATTTTCATTCCCCTGCTCCTAATGATGTTCCTCTGCCTCTAGTGCAAACATCTTCCGATGCTCACCTACATCAAGGTGAGTCATCTTCCGAGGTTGTGATTTCCTACGAATTCAAATCTCACAGACAAAAGAAAACCCCTAAACACCTGCAGGTCTTTCATTGTTATAATATTACTAGTACTATCATATATCCGATCACAAACTATATCTCTTACTCAAATCTATCTGAAACTTTTCGTGCCATCATAAACACCATCACAAATACCTTCGTCCCACAAAAGTTTTCAGAAGCCAAGATTTAAATCTTTAGTGTGATGCTGTAAAAGTAGAGATTGGTGCTATGGAAAGGACTCATACGTGGAGCGTTAATACTCTCCCGCCTAACAAGAAAGCCATTTGATGTAAGTGGGTATTCACAATCAAGCATAACGCTGATGGAAGCACTGAGATATAAAGCAAGACTCGTTGCTAAAGGCTTCACACAACAAGAGGGCTTAGACTATGAAGAAACTTTCTCCCCCATTGCTAAGCAGACTTCCGTTCATATGCTTCTTTTGACTGCTGCGAAGATGAATTGGTTTGTGAGTCAGCTTGATATATCGAATGCTTTCCTAAATGACGACCTTGACGAGGAGATTTATATGAAGATCCCTCTTGGCTATTCTGATTTACAAGGTGATCCTTTGCCCCCTAATGCTGTTTGTCGTCTTCATAAGTCGATTTATGGATTAAAGCAGGACTCTCGTCAATGGTTTCTCAAGCTCTCTTCCACCTTACTTGGTATGGGATTCACGAAGTCTCATGCTAATTATACTCTCTTCGTCAAATGTCACAACGACATAACACTTGGTGTTTTGGTATACGTTGTTGACATTATGATCGTGAGCAACAATGATCAAGCTGTTGTTAACTTCAAAGATGAGTTGAAGTCTCACTTCAAACTCAGAGATCTAGGTGAAGCCAGATACTTTTTAGGCTTGGAGATTGCTTGTTCTGCTGCAGGAATATCATTGTGCCAGAGGAAGTACATTTTGGAGTTGCTGGCTCACACTGGTTTTCTCAGCAGTAAACCTTCAAGTATCCTTATGGATCCGAGTGTCAAATTCTCCAAAGATACGGGTGTTCCTTTAACGGACCCTTCTTCATATCGGAAACTCATTGGGAAGCTCATGTACCTTCACACTACAAGACCTGATATCTCTTATGCCGTCAACACTTTGTGTCAGTTTTCTCATGATCCACGTGATTTTCATCTCAATGCTGCACACAAACTATTGCGGTATCTGAAAGGTACAGTCGGGCAAGGCTTGTTTTATCCAGCAGACAACAAGTTTGATCTTAGAGGATATGCTGATGCTGAATGGGCTGCGTGCGTTGATACTGAAGATCTGTGTCTGATATTGCATGTTTATTGGTCATTCTTTGGTTTCCTGGAAATCGAAGAAACATGACAAAGTCTCTTGCAGTACAGCCGAAGCAGATTTTTGCGCAATGGCTCTAGCTACAAAGAAGATGATATGGTTATCTCGGCTATTGCTTGATCTCAAGGTACCATTTCAACCTCATGCTTATATGTATTGTGATAATAAAGCGGCTATTCACATCGCCAACAACTCAGTCTATCATAAGAGAACAAAACATGTAGAGCTCGACTGCTACAAAATTCGTGAAGCTATCGACTGTGGATTTCTCAAAACCATGTTTGTTCGCTCGGGTCATCAATTGGCGGATGCACTTACTAAAGCTTTGCATCCAGCTCCTTACCGAGAGCTCATTAGCAAGATGGGAGTCAGCAACATCTTTGCACCTCCATCTAGAAGGGGGCTATTAGCGTATTGTACATATGGTTTAGATGAGT